CTCTCTCTCTCTCTCTCTCTCTCTCTCTCTCTCTCTCTCTCTCTCTCGCTCTCTCGCTCTCTCGCTCTCTCGCTCTCTCGCTCTCTATCTGTCTTTCTATCTCCTGCTGCCTGTGAATCCATATGTAGAACTCTCAGTTCCTTCCCCAGTACCATGGCTGCCTGTGTGCTGCCATGCTTCCTGCCATGAAGAGAATGCACTGACCTCTCAAACTGTAAGCAAGTTCCAAATTAAATGTTTTCTCTCATAAGGTTTTATGTGTTCCTGAGATCTCTTCACAGCAATGAACTGTGACTAAGACATTTTCTTATGTACTTTATGCATAGAAGCACCATGATTTATTAGCCACAACCAAACTTCCATATGAGTCAAGACACCATAAAATTCACTTTGCCTGTGATGACCATTACCGTGTAGGTTAGTCCATTGTGGACATTACATTTTATGTACTTCCCATATGCTAGTTACAATGACCATGCCTTTAGCTGCTACCTGCCCCCTGTTAACAATTAATGCACTGTATGTAATTTATCCAATTCAGCAGCAGCATCTCTAACCCTAAAGTTTGGCACAAGGAAAAGGACAACGACAAAGCTTTTCAAATGTTCTGGTGCCCCCTCGATGTTATGTGTCTGATAGGATCAGTGAAGGGCATGTCTCCTGAGCCTTCCCATGACAAAGAATTAGGTTTTACACAGCATAACTACTCTACCAGTGCAATTTCCCTGAGATTAAAATCCCTCTAGCAACAGTAAGAAAATGGATACTAGGCAACATCAATTCCTTTTCAGTAGACCATATTTTGATAAACGCCTCAGCCAAAGATTTAAAAACAGTCACTACTACTTCTATATTAAAGCTATAATCACGACAATAGTCTGCCTTTGTTTCAACAGGAGATGGAAAGCTATGAAATCCTTCAAATTAATAAAGACTACACTTAACCAGAGGAGACCTCCTGAAAATCTTGGCTGGAAAACTGCTATCCCAAGGCCCACAGCTTTTACATATGGAGAGCCACAGGATGCTCTCTACACAGTATACCAAAGAGACACTGGCTCTGAGTCACATTTTTCCCCCTCACAGATAAATCTCCCTGGTTTAAAGAAATGTATTTCATCTTCCTGGTCTTAACATACCTAAAAGAACCAGCTAGTCTATGTTCAGACAGCACTTATATGGTCAGCTTACACCCGTGACTAGCCTGCTCATATGTCAGACATGGTGGTGACCCTCTTTCCCAACTATTAATTAAGATTTCAAAAATACTTTAAACTAGAACATATCCATTTTTAGTCAGCCATGTGTGGTCACACTCATCCCTCACCAGACCTCTCTTTGATGGCAACACTTCAGCCAGTAAGATTGTCACAACTGGGGCCTTTACTCTGTCACCCCTTACTGCTAAAGAATTCCCATCAGATAACCATATTAACCTGAAAGAGCTACAGCCAAATTCCTCAATACCCCATAAAATACCTCAAACACATCCTCAGAACTTGCTCCTTCTGTGCCTCCCTAATTCGAATCCCTGCTATGCAACAATTGGGCACCAACCTCAGAGCCCTAAGGTTAATGCCATCTCGCAAGAATGATGTCACCACATCCCATTGCTCCATACACAAAAATTTGTATTCACTACTATTGATACCTATTCCCAATTAAAAACCTAATTAATCACATGTTCTCCAATTTTGCTATTATAAGGGTCCTTCTCCATATAAAAGCTAATACCGGACCTGCATTCAACAGCCATCAATTCTACACTTTCTGCAAGTCTTGGAAAACTGTCCACCACACTGGTATCCCTCACAACCCTCAGAGCTAAGCTGTCATTGAAAGAACAAATCAAATACTTTAAAAAATAATTAATTAAACACAAGGCTTCCTACCACCAAATACCAAATTAAACCTGGCATTATTGACACTGAATGTGTTCAACATCTATGCCACTCAAGACAAACCTCCCATTGTCTATCACTGGAGTCAAACACCACCACATAATACCACTCATCCTGGTGAGATGGAAGGACCCATTTGACAGGTGTTGGAGGGGGACAGATTCCCTACTAACAGAAGGAAGGGATTTGTTTCTACCTTTCCAGAGGAGCAACCTCACCCTATCTGGGTACCAGCCTGCAAGATCTGACAGGACCCCTCCAGTCAGAAAGACATCACACCTGGGGATCACAGAGAAAACAAAGAGGAGACCATGCAGGCACCCAAATGCACACAACCAGATCACCTGGAAGGACACTCACTTCCTCATTGACACAGCTCGATGCAGCTGTTTCCCACCCCACCTCTCAAACCCCGGAAAGACTCCTTCTGTGTCATTCTCATGGCTGTTTTTACCCTCCTTAACACCATGCTGGGGTTAGCCCCTCTCCTCCTAACACTATGCTTTCCTTGTTTTATGTCATGGAAACATATCATGGGAAGAACCAGATAATCAGGACTGGAGACTGCTCACTAGCAGGATGTCAGAAACCCATTATGATTCCTGTACACCAAATGCCACATCCAGTGCTGATTCCTTTGCTTGCTTTCCTTGACAATCAGACCATCATACCTTAAGCACATTAACACCTATGGAGGATGTCCCTATTGGTCCTGTAAGTAAAAAATGGGGACATCCCACACTACAGATAAACCACCCTACCGTTCCTAATGTTAACCAAGCTTTGATAAACACTGGAGAACACTGGAACAAAACATAGAGAATGGGGTCCATAAAATTTATGTTCCCTTTGATACCAAACCCTCTTCCCTGTGGACAAGGGGGTCTAAATACAGAGACACTGACACAGGTCCACATGAATAATCTCAGGACTGAGAATGAAGATCCTTGTAAATAAAACACACCCATCTGGAGCTACAGATGCTTCATCTGGGAAGAAACAAGAGGATTCTGAGTTTCAGCCCAAGTCTGAGAAGGAAGATACTGAGGAAAGAGGCAAAGTCTCCCATGGAAGGTGAACACAGAACCTGGTCTTTGTGGGGTCCGTGTGTGACTTGCAGGCCCGCGCCTCTGCTTTAAGGAGAAGCATCTCTCCACTGCATTCTCAACCGCTTGTGTCTCCATTGTATTCCCCTAAGTGACTTTTCTTCTAGAAGAGTCAAGGATCTGACTTCTGAAGGGATGAAGAAAGAGGAAGGGTGGAGTAGAGGACACAGAGAGCCGGGCCTGCGGGTCTCTCCTAGTGTCCAGACAGCTTTAGTGTCCAGAAAGCTTCTGGGTCAGAACTAGGAGACACCATGACAAACAGCGCTCTGTCCACAGCACAGGGTTCAGGCAAAATCTTAGTCTCCAGGCAGTGAGGTCAGGGGTGGGGAAGCCCAGAGCTGGGGATTCCTCATCTCCCCAGTTTCACTTCTGTTCCTACTGTGTCCTGTCCTTCTTCCCGGACACTGAAGACACACTAGCAAGTCCCAGCCCCAATGGATGACACGATCTCGGGGAACCAATGAGCGTCGCCACAGGCAGCCCACAGGACTAAGACGACCCAAATCCCAGATTGGGGAGATGGCGCTGAGCACGCTACTCCTGCTGCTGGTGGCTGCCCTGGCCCCGACCCAGACCCGCGCGGGTGAGTGCGGGGTCGGGAGGGAAACGGACTCTGCGGGGAGGGGCGGGGGTGGCACCAGGGAAGCCGCATCCCCGAGTTGCCCACCCGACCCTCTGCCCCTTCTCCACCCGAATCCCGAGGCCCGCCCCTGCACCCTCCCGGCCCGAGCACAGGGGTCTCAATGCGCGCCGCCCCCAGGCTCACACTCGATGCGGTATTTCGAGACCTTTGTGTCCCGGCCCGGCCTCGGGGAGCCCCGGTTCATCTCTGTCGGCTACGTGGACGACACGCAGTTCGTGCGCTTCGACAGCGACGCGAAGAATCCAGGATACGAGCTGCGTGCGCCGTGGGTGGAGCAGGAGGGGCCGGAGTATTGGGAGCGGAACACTCGGAGAGCCAAAAAGGCAGAGAAGATTTTCCGAGTGAGCCTGAGGACCCTGCTCCACTACTACAACCAGAGTGAGGGCGGTGAGTGACCCCGGGTCAGAGGTTACGACCCCTCCACGTCCCAACACAGGGGCTGGAGACATCCTGGGTGCCAAGTCCGAGGTCCGGGAGCAGAACTGACCCTGGACCGGTTTCCCTTTCAGTTTGGAGGAGTCTGAGGGTGGGCACAGAGTGGGTGGGCAGGGCCGGGGCGAGTGGGCAGGGCTGGGGCGGGTGGGCAGGGCTGACCACGGGGTCCCACAGAATCTCACACAGTCCAGCACATGTATGGATGTGATGTGAGGTCGGACGGGAGGCTTCTCCGCGGATACATGCAGCTCGCCTACGAAGGGCGCGATTACATCGCCCTGAACCAAGACCTGAAAACCTGGACGGCAGCGGACATGGTGGCCCAGATCACCAGACACAGGTGGGAGCAGACTGGTGAAGCAGAGATACACAGGGATTACCTGGAGGGTGAGTGCGTGGAGTCGCTCCGCAGATACCTGAAACTCGGGAAGGAGACGCTGCTGCGCACAGGTACAGGGGCCTCAGGCAGCTTCTCCCTCTGTCTTTGGGCTCTGGGCTCAGTCCTGGGGAAGAAGAAACCCTCAGCTGGGGTGATGCCCCTGTCTCTGAGGGGAGACAGTGTCCCTGGGTCTCCTGATCCTCATCACAGTGACTGCACTGACTCTCCCAGGGCTCAGCCTTCTCCCTGGACAGCTCGCAGCCTGTATCAGGAGGAAAGGAGAGAATGTCATGATATAATAATAGTGGCTCCCTGCTGTCAGCCGTGGTCTCTCCCAGGGTTGGTTCTCTGTCCACACCCATTGTCTGTGGACACCTGTGTAGCTGAGTGTGTCAACCCTTACACCTCAGGACAAGAAGTCTCCTTAACCTGATGGGAGACATGGACTCCTTACACTGTGCTGTTTCCCTTAGTTTCTAGAACTTTCCAAAGAATACATTCTCAGGGATCCCTCCTGTCTGTGGGGTTTGCGTCCCTTTCACTTTCCAATTCCATCTATTCTTAGAGTGGTGAATGGTCACGTGAGCCCTTATGGGGTACCCTGGAGGAATGTAAACTGCGGGATTTCTTTTTTTCTCTTCTGTTTTTCCTTTTCTTTCTTTCTTTCTTTCTTTTTTCTTTACCTTTTTTTTTGAAGGCATTATTTTGCTTCTAGTCAGTTTTTGTCTACACTAGAGTGATCCTGTTTCTCAATGTCCTTGTATTATCGTTTGTATCAGTCTCCACAGATCCCAGGGGAGACTGCTAATCTGGACAATCAGACAAGTTAAATTAGGGTTCTCAGTAAAGGAGAGATTCTTGTGAGCTTAATGGTTTCCAGTCAGAACTAAACATCCAGATCCCTCCTCCTCTTCCTCTGCCCCCACAAATTACAGTGCTCCCCCTAGTGAATCAGGAATTGGACTCTCTGAGAGACAGGGTCTTCTGCAATCCAGGCCTGGAATGAATGGGAAGATCCTCACACCCTATGAGCCCTCTGAGTTCCAGTGAGTGCTGCACTAGGGTCCACAGCACACTCCAGGGATCCTATGTACCCTGTATCTTGCCACCCCATGGGCAGGGCCAGGAAATCATTTTCTCTGGCTGAGTGTTAGAGGTTCACTACATTTCTGCTACATACTTTGTGATGGCAGTTTACTTGGACTGACAGCTATGCTGGTCAACAAGATGAACACAGTGGTTGAGTTTCAGTGTTGGCAGCCTACCAGTAACACATGGCCATAATTTATAATTTAGACATGAACTCAAACACATTAAATTACTTGTTTTGCATTCCATTGTCCATTCCATGACTACCTATTTCATGCTATAGAACATCACGTAAGGATGGCCATGCTGGCCCATTGGGCATGTATGATTCCCTCTTAGCTTCTGAGTCCACCAGAAAATGGGCAGTTCTGTCTTGAAGTGACCAGCTCAACCTGCAGGTCACTAGTGCAATGACAGTTGAAGTGTCAGACAGACACATAGTTCAGTGTCATCATTGATTTTAACTGTGTCTTGTGTATATTTCAGTTTGTCTTGTTAATTGTGGGACTGCATACATCTTCTACACAGATCCCCCAAAGGCCCGTGTGACCCATCACCCCAGATCTGCAGGTGATGTCACCCTGAGGTGCTGGGCCCTGGGTTTCTACCCTGCTGATATCACCCTGACCTGGCAGTTGAATGGGGAGGACCTGACCCAGGACATGGAGAATGTGGAGACCAGGCCATCAGGAGATGGAACCTTCCAGAAGTGGGCATCTGTGGTGGTGCCTCTTGAGAAAGAGCAGAATTACACATGCCATGTGTATCATGAGGGTCTGCCTGAGCCCCTCAGCCTGAGATGGGGTAAGGAGTGTGTGGGTGCAGAGATGGGGTCAGGGAAAGCTGGACCCTTCTGCAGACCCTGAGCTGGTGAGGGTTGAGACCTGGGGTCATGACCCTCACCTTCATTTCCTGTTGCTCTCCTTCCCAGAGCCTCCTCCATCCATTGATTCTAAGATGGCAATCATTGCTGTTCTGGTTGTCCTTGGAGCTGTGGCCATCATTGGAGCTGTGGTGGCTTTTATGATGAAGAAGAAGAGAAACACAGGTAGGAAAGAGCAGGGTCTGTGTTTTCTCTCAGCTTCCTTTAGAATTGTGCTCTGCTCAATAATAGAAAACACAGTCACACCCCTCATTGCTACTGTCTCCAGTGTGGGTCCTCTCTCAGTTCTGGAAACTTTTAGGGTTTGAATCTTCCTTTCATTCTCACAACTTTCCTTCTCACAGGTGGAACAGGAGGAGTCTATGCTCTGGCTCCAGGTAAGTGTGGGTGGCCGGATTGTCTTGAGGTGATTACAGTGAAGCTTGAGATGATGGGGAGTTCTGGTAACCCATGATAGATTCTTTAGAGAAATCTTCTGGGGGGCCTGTGTTGTACCTTGATATGAGTGTGTGTGAGTGTGTGCGTGTACGTGGGGGGGGGGGGGCTGTGTGTGTCTGTGTCTGTGTCTGTGTGTGTGTATGTGTGTGCATGTTTTGTTTTACCATAGACAGGGACAGCTCCCAGAGCTCTGGGGCCTGATTGAGGTGGGGAAATGTGGACATGACAGGGTTTCATGAGATCCCAGAATCTGCTGTGTGTGAGAAGTAGGTTGTTGGAATATTTTCTTCACAGTGATGGTTCCTGACTCTCATTCTCTAGCATGAAGAGAGCAGCCTGGCATGGACTGAGTGACACAAGGTGTCTGATGTTCCCTGTGATTTTATGGGCTCAGTGTGAAGAACTGTGGAGCCCATCCTGCCCTGCACACCAGAACCCTGTCTCTGCACTGCCTGTGTTTCCTTCCTCAGCCAACCTTCCTGGGCTGAAGTAGAAACTAAGAGTTCTTTAGAAAGTTGGTTGGATATTGTTTTGCTGGGGCAGACATATGAAATATTTCATTAAACTGGATACAGGTGTGAAAGGCTAAGGCTGGGCTGGAGAGATGGCTCAGAGGTTAAGAGCACTGGCTGCTCTTTCAGAGGTCCTGACTTCAATTCCCAGCAACCACATGGTGGCTCACAACTATCTGTAATGGAATCTGATGCCCTCTTCTGGTGTGTCTGAAGACAGCAGACAGTGTGCTCACACATAAAATAAATAAATTTAAAAAAAAAAGAAAGAAATGAAGAAAGAAAGAAAGAAAGAAAGAAAGAAAGAAAGAAAGAAAGAAAGAAAGAAAGAAAGAAAGGCTAAGGCTGATTCATGAATGAACATTTTGCTGAAGCAGACACAGGAGAGAGGATGTTCTGCTAAAGCAAGCACATGAAAGGACACAAGATGAAGGATTCTTTGCTAAGGACACACTTATATTGGTCTGCCTTACATTGCATAGTTGAACTTCATTTGTTGGAGTGTCATAGAGAGAAACGCACCAAAAAACTTCTGGCGGTGTACTACAGTTTGCTGCTGTTTCCAAGGACTCAGGCTGATTGAATGCATGTGCTGAAGCAAGACACGTGGAGGACACGTGGTGTTTGGAAAATATAAATAGGACTCCATGGAGTGACAGAGACAGAGCTTGGCTTCCTGGTACTGCTCACTGTGCAACACTTGTGAGTCTTGTCTCTTCGCTGATCTTCCCTTTTCTGAGAGAGGATCAGCTGAGAACTTCTCCTGGTGTGCCTGTTGGTCCCTCCTGCTGACTGGAGATGAAGCTTGGCTGTCTCTGCTAGGTTGTGTCACAGATGTTGCTAACCAGACTCTACCAAACTGGACTGCTGGTGTATCCATGAGGCATTTGTGAGTGGATGGAGCTGCCCCTGGTGACATGTGAACTGAACTGCTGATTTCCAGACAACACAGACGGGAATTGCTCCAAAGAAACTTTCTAAACAGGTCCACTTACCTCCCCCAACTCCCCTGTATTCTTTCTTTTCCACTATTTCTGGTGTGTGGTGGGTTTCAAGGAAAGTTAAAGTTTTTAAGAAGCATCATTAAAAATAGGATTTGAAAAATTAAAGTTACACTGGAATAAGAGGATAAAAGGGTAGATTGCTGAATATAATTTTAGACTAAAGAGTATAGTCTCAAATAGTTTTACATTGGTTTGGATTTTTGTATATTGAGAGAAATTTATGCTTATATTTTGCTGCAACATACTGTATACATGCATCAACTCTTGTTTATGGTATTGTAAGTATGTGACTCATTTTATAATGTAATGCACAGTTCTGGTCCTTCAAAGACACTATTGCAAAGAGTTCAAGATAATTAAGAAATGCAAGTGGGTAGTCAGTCAACCAAATTTATGGCCATGGCAGATACTAGTTTTGTTATTTACAAGACTAAGCTTTCTTTTGCCTCTTGTCACTGTTTCCAAAGTTTGACAGATAGTAGATAGCTAGAAACAAGCAACATTTGCCTATTCTGATATACTATGGATAGATAGGTGGTCTTCGAAAATCTCAGAGTTCTACAGGTTATGGCATTTAAAAGTATTCTATTAACATGAGGATTACTACAACAGTGAGACAGGATTGTGTCTAGCAGCACACCTGTGAAGCTTTCCCTATGCTCACCCAGGACGAAGCACTATAAGAAGGTATGGCCCTGTTAGAGTAGGTGTGTCACTGTGAGTGTTGCCTATAAGACCCTCATTCTAGTTGCCTGGAAGTCAATATTCTGCTAGCAGCCTTCAGATGAAGATGTAGAACTCTAGGCTCTGCCTACACCATGCCTGCCTGCATGCTGTCATGCTCCTGTCTTGATGATAATGGACTGAACCTCTGAATCTATAATCCAGCCCCACTTAAATGTTGTCATTTATAAGACTTGCCTTGGTCATGGTGTCTGCTCACAGCAGTAATGCCCAAAGACAACTCCCATTCAACTTCAGAGAGGATGACGGGCATTGAAGATCCTTCTTCCATGTCTTCATGTAGGCTTTCTCACAGGTGGAAAAGCATGTAAAGTTCTTCTGGATGTAAGTTTGATGAGAGCAGGGCAGCATGAGACCTGAGACCCCTGGAGAAGTGCAGACAGGAAGGAGGCCCTGGAGCAGTTCAGTCAGCCTGGATCCCCTTTACCCTCAGACTCTGAGGGTTCAGGCTCAGTTATCTTTTATTTTTCCACCAGGGGGTGCTGTTGCCCAAGAATGTGATACTTCTATTCCTTCTTCAACAGGTGAGACCCTGGAGTGTCTGCAGTGGGAGGGAAGATGGGAAAAGGGGGCACCTTTCTTTGCAGGAACATTCCAGTTGTTGGGATGTTATGGTCTGTTAAAGTTAGCATTCAAACCTCTGAGTAGAATTTATCTTGTTCATCTGGAATCAAAAACAGACATTGGCTCAAGTGCAAAGATGAACACTCACTGTGTCTTCTTCCTGTGATGAGGCTGTGATCCACTGTGCACAGTAGGTCCATAAAATGAAATACCTTTTGCATTTTTAATTTTATTTTTTTTTTGCAAATTGTCTTTCAGTACAGTCTATTTTAATCATCTATTCCTGTCTTGCTACAGTGTGGCTTCATTGGCTGATGGTGTAGTGTTGTCTAAACAGCCCTGTGCCCTCAGCCCTGGCCTCACACTCTAGATGTTTAGGAGAAAGAGAGGGAGTATTTTTCAAATCATAGTTTTTAAATTTGATTTTTATTAGATGTATTTTTATATGAGTATAGGTACACAACCATTGGGTCCATGGAACAAAAGTTACAGATGGTTGACAGCCCCCATGTGCTGATGGAACACACACTGGATTCTTTGCAACAGCGACAAGTGCTCTTAGCTGCTGAGCCATCTCTCCAGCCACTATTGGAATGTTTACATAAGGAAACCACAGCTTATTCACAACCTGCTGTGTGGTCTTGTTGGAGGATCTGTGCCACTGGGTTGGACACTGAGTTTTTGGTTGGTTGGTTGGATGCTTGGTTGGTTGGTTGGTTGGTTGGTTGGTTGGTTGGTTTTTAGAGACACATGGTTTCTCTGTATAGCCCTGGATGCCCTGGAACTCACTCTGTAGACCAGAAATCCACCTGCCTCTGCCTCCCAAGTGTTGGGATTAAAGGCATGTGCCACCACTGCCCGGCTAGGCACTGAGGACTTAACAGACTTCAACTATTCCCAGTGTCTCAACCTTCTACTTGCAAATCAAGTCCTGAGCTCTCAGCTGTTCCTCCACCATGCCTCTTCTCTGCCATCATGGACTCAAATCCTCTGAAACTAGAGAACAGATTAAACACATTCTTTTATAAATTGCCTAGTTCACAGTGTCTTTTTTTGTATTTTTTGGGGGGTTTTGGTGTTTTGTTTTGTTTTGTTTTGTTTTGTTTGTTTTTTGTTTTTGTGTGTGTGTGTGTTTTGTGTTTTTTGTTTTGTTTTGTTTTGGGGGTTTTTTTGTTTTTTGTTTTTTGGGGGTTTTTGTTGTTGTTGTTGATGTAGTTTTGGGTTTTTTTTGTTTTTTTGGTTTTTGTTTTTTTGGTTTTTCGAGACAGAGTTTCTCTGTGTAGCCCTGGCTTCCCTGGAACTCACTCTGTAGAACAGGCCGGCCTTGAACTCAGAAATCCACCTGTATCTGCCTCTCAAGTGCTGGGATTAAAGGGACAGTGTCTTATCATACCCATTAAAAACTAACTAAAGCTAGTGTGGTGACACATGTCTTCAGTCCCAGTGTGGTAGACTGAATAGGTAGCCACATAGACTAACATGCTTGAAAGCTTGGCCCACAGGAAGTGGCACTAGCAGGATGTGTGGCCTTGTGGGAGTAGGTGTGGCCTTGTTGGAGCAAGTGTATCACTGTGGGGGTGGGCTCTGAGGTCTCATATGCTCATGCTAGCCCAGTGTGGAATGAGATCCTCTTCCTGGCTGCCTTTGGATCAAGATGTAGAAGTCTCTGCTCCTCCAGCACCCTGTCTACCTGCACACTGGCATGCTTCCTGTTATAATGAACTAAATTCTGAAATTGTAAGCTAGCCCCTCTTACATGTTTCTCTTAGAAGTGTTGCCTTGCTCATGATGTTTCTTCACAACAATGAAGCCCAAACTAAGATATCCAGCACTCCGGATGAAAAGGCGGGTTGTATCTCTGTGAGTTCAAGGCCAGCTTGGTCTACATAGTAAGTTCCAGGACAGCCAGAACTGTGCAGACATACCTTGTTTCAAAACAGAATAAAATAAAATAAAAAAAAGAAACAAAGACAGATCCTTTCTGTGGAGCTGCCTTACCCCAACAGCATCCTTAGGTTGGTCAGGATGAAACCTAAGAGCATAAAGTTCCCATGAAAAATACTCCCAGCACCTAATAAGAGTGGTTCACAGTAACAGGTACAGCTGAATCCTGGTGAGGCTGCTGGGCGGCTGGGGACACCTGCATAGAGAGGTGACTGGAGTTCACACCTGTGCTCATGCACATCTGTCACTCTGTGTGATGAGTGACTCTCATCAGGAGTCCCCGCCCATCTCTGCTCTTCTTTCCTACACAACTCTGTATGGCTTGGATTTGAAGGGATCAAAGAATCAAAAAATGTATAAATTTAATCTTTCCCACACTACTGATCAGGGATGAAAACTCACATCACCAGTGTGTACTCTCTGGCATGAGAATCGTCTTTCTTCCAGTGTCCACACTGAACAGGCCTGAGGATGATCACATCTGTTGTCCCACACACCTGTGACATTCATGTCCCTCACCTCAATAGATCATAAGTGTGAGTGAAGGTCAGAGAGGAAGTGAGAGGGTTACAGATTACATAACTTCTACCACACTGTCATCACTATTCTGTGTTATAGTCGGTGATAGTTCCTATCCTACAGTGACTGAGTCACTAAAGTAACTGTACCATGGGTGTGTGTACACAGGGCAAGTGCAGTGTAGACAGAGATCAGTGTCCTTCTCTCTGGGATCTCCACAGGGATCTCTCTTCAGTGGACTAGGGGATCTACTGTGCTGAGACAATGACTCAGGTTTACATGGTCAATCTCAGGACTGGGAATAAAGGTCCTTGT